AGCAACTGTCTCTCTTGTCCTCCACACCACATGCACACGGGTTAACTTGAGCTTTTAATCAAGTACTTTTCATGCTCTGAATTAATGGCACTTTCAAATACTATAATATTTACTCCAAAAGATGTGTTGATTGACAATGTGGATTGCCAAATATGACTTAAAAATTTATATAAGAATATTATTCTTTTCCAGCTACTAAATGTTCCAAATTGAATACATTTTTTTCTGCTTGGAATCTCCTAAGAAACATTAGGTTCATGGGCAACATTGGTCCTCTTGCATTTGTTCTTTCCTTTTAGTCATTGGCTTAGGGATATCAATTTTCAGATACTATGGTTTCATTTCATCAGATGCATGACAGCTTTTTGAAATTTCCTCCTTGCCCTTCAGACTTTCCTGCAAGGACAGAGGGCACAGTCACATTCTCTGACCTGCCCAGCAGGTGACCTTAACATCTGGCAATGTAAGGCTATGATGAGGAGGAAAGGCACAGGGTTGAGTGCACAAGGCAAATATGTGGTGCATCACCTTGCCAGCAATGCAGTGTGGCAACAGCTTCTCGACCTTTGGCCAGTCCCACCCCCGTCATGGATCAAGAGGTTTTACCCGAAGTAGCTAACAGCCTGACTCAACAGTGGAGCGTGGCATATGGAGAGACGATTCTAAATTGGATGTTTACACTGAGCCACCCTAAATCCTCAGCAATTTGGGTGCTGAGATTTCCCTGTAAGTCTGTGAAAATCACCTTGACCTCCATCCTGCAGTGTCCTCTGCTGAGCAGGGAGATGGTTCTGCAAGATGTCTACGTGTGAATTTAGTATTTACTACCTGCAGGTGAAGTGATTGAGCTTTTAAGTATGAATATCGGAACAATATTCACAGTCAGCAACGAGGCTTGGGGTTTAAGAATGAACTGCAGTCAATGTGAGGACCCAAGGAAGCCGTTTCTGTAACTGGCAGTGTTTACTCCATACACATCTCAATGTCTCAGGACAAGGGAATGAAATGGAAAACAGCCATGACTTGCACTGGAAGGGATTAAGTCCACCAAGCAACCTTGAATTCAGGGTAGAAATCCAGTTCCCCAGGACAGGTAGGAAGGAGTCGAGTGGATAAATGCTTCTTTCACTAACCCCTCTGCCCGACCCAGAAGGGGTCAGTCTAATTACACTTCATCCAAGCTCTGTTCACAAACAAGGTAAAATTATCTAGGACTTGCTCAGCCCCGGAAAAAGGCTGAGTTGCCCCCAACTCAAGTACTTGTTACATTTATCTGCTGCTTCTGAGTGTGAGGAGCAACAAAGACAGCTGAGGCGTCCACACCTGAGCCATTCTCCTGGACTGGCTTCAGAGCTGGCACTCCTGGGCTCCACTTTCCTGTTCTTCTAGTCCACGGCCCCACTTCCATGACTTGCTGCGGTCCTGGCGCCATGCTCTCATCCTCCTCGCTGCTGTTCCCTCCACACTCACACCTGCTGTTAACAGCTCTTGCTGTTCCGGGGTCTTCTCTCAGTTTTCAGTGCCTGGAATGGGAACTGTATTGCATGTGGAAACAAGGCCCAGTGCCTTTCTGTTTAAAACTGATTTCCTACAAGTTGCAAGGGTTCCAAGAGGTGGGGTGTAGGTAGCTACTAACTCACATTTGCCCTCTCCCCCACCCTATGGTGCGGATTAAACGTAGGTAGGCCGCAATAATAGTTCTAGTAGCATAGAACTGGTATAGTAGCTATGTGTCAGGCACTGTTTGAGTGCTTCAGACATATTATTTAATCCTCCAAATAACCCTACCAGGGAGGTACTATTTTTTTTTTTTTTTTTGATAAGGGCTCTGAGACCCAGAAAGAGTAGGTATCTTGATTAAGATCACACTTTATAGAGGACTGGGTGGGATTCAAACCCAGACAGCTGACTCAAGAGCAGTGGCGCTGGAGGGGACAATGGAAGGGGAGGCAGTGGGAGGAATCCACTAGGATCAGGTGGAATTTTAAAATAATAATATAATTGATCAAATTATTATCTCATGTATAAGCACTTTGTAATGAAGCAATGATGAAATATTCTTCCTTACTTGGGTTGCATTCCTCCCGTGATCTTAATAGGCTAGACACTGGCGTGTCTGTATAGGGCACCTGACAATGGAATGACTGCAGTACAACCAAAGGGAGCCTGCCTGCAACTCTGAGGACGACTGAAAATGTGGAAAGAACCTGGGGCTTTAAAATTATTGTGGTAAAATACATGCAGAATTGGCCACTTTAACCATTCGATTCAGTAACATTAAGGACATCCACAACATTGTGCACCCATCACCACTATCCATTTCCAGAACTTCATCATCTCTAAAAGAAACTATGCACTCATTAAACATAACTCTCTGTTCTTCCCTCCCCCAGGGCCTGGTCACCTTTATTCCTTCTGTCTCTATGAATTGCCTATTTTAGGTACACAGAATATTTCTCCTTTTGTGCCTGGCTTTTTTTCACTTAGCATAATGTTGTCAGGGTTGTATCTATGTTGTAGCATGTATCAGAACTTTATTTTTAAGGTGCAATAATATTATACTGTAAAAACTTTTGGGGGCACCATATGTTAGGGGACCTCATGTTAAGGTGGATGATTGTAGGGGGCCCACTTTGAGTGGTATTGGGGATTGTAGTCCCGCGGAAGCTGGGGCTTGGGAGAGGCTCGAAAAGTCCTGGCTGGAAAACTGATAATGTGGTTGATAGGCAGGATCCGATAATAACTCTGAGGGCCTCCAGGGGAAATTAGGCTTCCTGCAACACTCCTTGAAGCATGCTTTGTCTTTCCCTCAAGCTCTGTTAATCTTGTACCAGATAACCAGCTCAAGGCTGGGAAAGAAATTTACAAAATTCCTGGACCCTGACCCAAATCCCAGCTGGCACCCTGTTTGCTCATCTTGGACCCAAGCAATTCAGTGTGTTCCTGCCATTGCCTTCTTTAAACATCACCTACTCTCTGTAAACTTAAATTACTGATGTAATTAGAGTACCTCTACACTCCTGCTACCTATCCCCTACTTGTAACTCTCTCAATAAAAGCCATTGAGCACAGGGGCTCAGGACATTCTCCTTTAGAGAGAACCGCCTTCCCCTTTCCTTGAAGGGCAAATGGTTTCTGAAATGACTCTTCCATCCGCAGCAAATTAGGGAACTTTGCGGCCCAGAGTCCCCCATAGATGATGTTTACCTTGTGGTGTAGGTCATGTGTATTGGCTGTTTCTTACAGCTGAAAGAATCCTAATAGCATAAGGCACAATTCAGATTCTTCTGCAAAGCTGCATGGTGGGCAATGGGCCCAAAGATTACTCAACGTGGAAGCTCTCCAGCATGTAGCATAATTCTCCAGAATTTCCCCAAGGGCTATGTGTATAAAATCTAAATCTATGTATGTACGTATCTATATGCACACAAACGCGTGCCTAAGCCCCTAAACCCATACCTTTACCTCTTTTCATCCTCAATTTAGCTATTTTGATAATCCCTTATTACAGCTGTTAAGTTCAACATACAGTTATTTGGTACTTAACATTTTTCATCATAAAAATGCCAAATTGAGTGAGACATTGTGCTCGGTGCTCTACAGAGGAGTACAGATCAATGTCTCTTTTCAAAATACTTCTCTATAATCTTCAATAGAGTTAATCATAATCTAGTTTAGTCAAGAGTAAAGAATAAAAACATTTATTTAAGAAATATCCAGCATCACTTGATCTGAGTTTGGCAGGCACAAAGAGTGGGTGATTAATGTTTTGTTGATGTATGAAATTTGAGATACAGGAAGCAGTATGGCAAAAAAAAAAATACTTATTAAAACTGAAAAAAGAAAAGTTAGTAACTATGATAGAAAGGGACTTGACGTTAAGGAAATGTCACCATGCAATGAAAACAATCTCCTCTTTAAGAAGGATTAGTAGAGAAGGAGGTTAGATATACTTGCACAATATTGGGGATATGTTCTTTATGGAGCATTTTGGTTCCTGGCTATGAAGGGCTGAACTGCAGACGGATGTGAGCAGACCCCAGGACTAGCAGGAGATTCAGAGAAGTGGGATAAGGAGAAAGAAAAACAAGGCAGAATATTTTTGCTCAAGGGTCTCTATAAAAATATATATTTAAAAAAAATCTGAGTAAGGATGTATTATAATTTTTTCTGTGACTATAAAAGTATAATGGGCAGCATAAGAAAAGCTGTAAACATGTAAGAATACCCTTTCATTGTAAACAGACATGCCTCCTGAAACTATATTACATATCACAGTAGAAAATCCTTTTTTTTTTTTGGCTTGTTCTCTTTTCTGGTTCCTAGTTGCTCACATTCTAAGAGAGAACAAAGGCCTTTATAGACCCATCAATCCTGTCCTTTTATTTCACAGATAAAGAGGGTAAGCAGCTTGCCCATGGCCATATTCATCCGCAGTGGTAGAGACTGAACTAGACACAGGTCTCGATATCTCGTCAGGTGCTTTTTGCATCATAACAGGACACGATTCATACCACGTGCCATCCTGGTCTGTACTTGATGATTCCCTGAATCTCAGCTGGGGCAAAAGGGCTGTGAGGGAAAGGAATAGGTCTCTTTGAGGCTTCTCTGGCTTGTTATGAGTGGGGACACCAGAAGAGGTGATAAAACACATCTACTTCTATCCCAAATCTAAATATTCAGAGAGACAGAGGTGGGGGCAGAAAAAGACTATTCTAAAACATCTGAGAAATATTTCCTGGATATAACCTTGTGGATGCTACAAATTTTTTAAAGGTTACCTTAAGAGAGGTTATTGATTTTAAAGATTATCTGGCCTAGGACACACAATTATAAACCTTTCAGAAATTCTGCAAATAAAGCCCTGGTTGCAGGAGATGACCAAATGGGGAGCTTTAGGCTCCAGGGGATATATCAACCCTGCTCCATGGAGTCTCTAACCACCACACCATCAATTGAGCTACTAATAGGTGGTGTTACTTGCCTCCAAATATGCAAATTCCAGCAGAAAGAAAAATACATTTGACTGCATTCTTTTTAAAAGTTCCAGCATTCTCACATCTATTTCTGATTTCACATTCATCAGCACTCAACATTCCATATGTTCCATTCTGGCTAACCAGATCTCTGGGTGACAATATGGGGGATGCTTTATCACAACATTCATGAGACGTGTCTCAAGAGGCAGGGCGATCAGATCTCTCTGGGCCATTCTTACATGTGTCTTTTGAGCACAAAATTCAGTGAAAGTGTCATATATACAAACCCTCACCTGGAGGATATGTTTATTGATTTTTTTGGCGGGGTGGGGGGAAGAGAGAGATGAAGTGGAAGAGAGAGGGAAACATTGCTGTAACATCTATCAGTTGCCTCATGTATATGTCCCAACTAGGAATCAAACCCACAACCTACATATATACCCTGAACCAGAGATTAAACCCACAACCTTTTGATGTATGGGATGATACTCCAGCCGAGTTACCTGGCCAGGGCAAAAAGTGTTGTATTTTTAAAATGTCTATCGTAAGTTTTTGTTCAAGGTACAACGCAAGGACCATGAATTGAGAATATCCTTTGTCATATTCATGAACTAGGAAAACTGTGACACCAAAGTTCTTGAAACTCTGACATTCTCGAGTTTACTGAAATATCAAAAAGTACCACAATTCTTTATCTGGCAGAAGTTTATCTTCCTTGCGCTCCATAGGTTCCTATAAGAGGAGGATCTTTACCATTTAAACTTTTCCTGAAAACTGCTTTCTCAAGTGAAGATCAATCATTTGTTTTGCAGGATAAGAGCCAGCCATGTGTTCTGTGTTCCATCTCAGGCAATAAATTGCATTTGTACCACTTTCCTTGTCTCTTTCCATATAGTTTGTTGTGACTTATACACAGACTCCCGAAAAATCCTTTCTATTTGTGTAGGAAAGCCACGACTTTCTTCCTCCAGGGCATTGATGGTTCGGAGAGCGAATGGAGTCCGTTCCCGGGGCAGGGGATTGTTCAGAGGCCGCATGGGTATAACAGAGTTGTATTTGTGCTGTCTGTTAACAGAGTTCATGAGGGACGAATAGAACTGGAACCTACACCAGGTATCTCTTAAAAAGTTTTCAGTCAACAATAAGATTGTCCATGCAGACCCATTTACAGCATCATCTAAATTCTGTAAATGCTGTCTGCCACTTGGCATCTCAGCAAAAATTATTCCAGGTTTGATGCCAAAGTCATTTTGGAGGAGATCCTGGACTCTGAGAGCTTCGCTTATGTCATCTTCTGCATGCAATATCACAAATTTGAAGAACACTTCTTCTTCTGCTTCCTCGTCAGGAATCTCCTCTACTCCCTCAGCTCCCTGCTGCTCTACTGTTGGCATCTCTGTTGTACTGCTATGCCCAGCAACATCATGCAGGGAGATTTTAGGGTTCTTGGACTCTGACTGATGATGTCTTTGACTTGTATTCATACTGTGACTCTTAACCAAAGAGAGAGAAAGAGGGCAGGGATCTATTTTAGATTTCCCGATACCCATTATAAATATCCAAGTCAGAAGAGAAAAGCTTTAATTCTTGGCATTTCTTTTCATTCTAAAAGAAGAAACAACAAAGAGAAGAACACTGTAAATTTAATCAAAACATTAAAAATAGAAACTTGCATTGAACCTGAAAAGCTCAGAAAGATGGCAATACATGGGTCCTAAGAAATGCCAAACAGATCATTGGGAAACAAAATCATTTGTCTTTTGTGCGTTTCACAAGGGATACTACAAGTAGTCCAGGGTAAGTTAAACAGAGGGGTCCAGGTAAATATAACAGGAGACATTTGAAAATATTAAATGGTATCATATTAGCATTATAAACCTCCAGATTAAAATGAATTACTTTGGTATTGTAGTGAAGAGGTACCATAGCACTCTATCGATCTGGAGTTAAAATCCATCTTCTCCATTATCAAATTATTGTGGAGAGTAGAACTATGAAAATCTAAAGAAACAGAATATTCAAATATTAATTACAAAATTTATTTTTGTATCAAACACAAATACAAAACAGAGTACAAATATCCTAAAGTTGGCTAGCAGGCAGTTTCTACTGACTCAGCATAAAAAGATCGAAAATGTCAAACCTCACTGGTTCAGAGCTTTTTTATTGTTAAGGTCAGGCATTACTGCTCTAATGGGGCTGGTGGAGAAATTGTAATATGGGTTGTGAAACATAAGAAATACTTTCTTGCAGCTAATCCTGGCAATACTGAGTAAAACACATTTACTCACCTAGGGAAAAATTAACATTTCGGTTTGGAAGTGAAATCTAGAAATGGACTTGTGATTGTCTCCAGTGAAATCAACGAAGAATCACTATTGTCTAAACTCATTCTTTTATTTTAAAAATTCTACGCTAAGAGTGGAAGAATTTGGTCAGCCATGAAACAAAAGTATTCCATGTGAAATCTAATTTAAATAAATGTTCAGATAATATTGGCAATGTTGTTAATGTAACTCCAAAATAGGCAGTTTGAAGGAGGATTCTTTTACCAAAAGACAGAAAATTTAGAATATATAAATATAGCCTCCATATTTTTAAGTGTGGGGCCATACTGTTTATTTTCCAGAGCATTTTATTTATTGTTCATGGACAAAGACCATAATTCAATAAGAAATCCGAATTACATTCATAATGACATAAGTAATATAGCTTCATTTATCAAAATAATTCAGGTTTAGAAGAAACCATTCAACAAAAATGATGAAAATCTGTTACAGGAAGAAAAGATAAAAAGGAAACACAGAGAACTTCTCTCTAATATACATAAAGAGTGAAAGGTTTGCTACTGCCTCTGAATAGTGAAGGCACTGCTGCTACTGTCTGCCATTTTTTGGATCTGTACTTAAGGTTCTGACTCCACAGTATATTATGCCAATTACCAAGAGGCATTCTAGGCATAATAACTCTAAACTGTTACATACATAGAACACATATGTACATACATTCCAAATAATAAGAACAAATGAATTTGAACTCTCTTCCTTGTTTAGGATTAACTGCTGACTTTGTTACTGCACTATGAAAAAAGGTTTTACTATGCAAAGTTGCAAAAAGAAGCTTCCTCTGCATAATGACATAATTGTTAAACCACTCAGAGACATCTCTTTACTGTGCCTATTGAAATGATCTTCATTTATTCATTGAGATAGGTTTGTACAGCAACTTAACATCATTGTTCATTAACATCTTGTTCATTAGCTGCTGCAGATAAGTGCAGTTGAAGTAATACAAGATATTCATAGAAATGTCAAAAGTTTCTAAGGTAAAATGGTGTGTTAAGCCAAATCACCATATTTTTTGGAAATAAATTTTTAAAAAAGAATTGCAACTTTATGTCTTATTTTTCCAAAATACCAGTCAGAAAAAGAGCAAAACACTCCAAAAATCTATGGTGTGCTTTTCAACTTCCAAGCACTCCCACCCACTACTACCCTAGGTAGACTTGACAGAAAAAAGTTAATGACGATGTCTAAAAAACTTCACTATGACCTTCTAATTTAGAAGGACAGAGGGAAAAGATAGCCAAGGGGGAAGGATGTGGAAAGTCATGTGCTGGAGACCTGCCTCTCCCACCACCAGTGACTCTCAGATGGGGAGATGGTCAGGATTCATCCCTGGGGTTGGTTGTCGAGCCTGGAAGAAAGGAGAGAACTCGATTGTGCTCTCTCTGAGCCAATGATCTCCATCAATAAAGAGGGCTCTACTAGAACAGAAGGCAGGGAATGCTGATGGAAATGGGCGGAGGGGAGAAGGCTCGCAACAAGAATCCTGGAAAGCTCCCTTTCAAGTTCTCCTTGCCCATCAGGAATGGTCAGCACCAGGGTTAAAACATTCAAGTGTCATCTCCTTTCCTCAGCTAAACGGGAGAGTGACAGTGGCCGCTGAGGAGAGGCACATGAGACGACTGTTCACAGTAATGAAAACATCTGTGTATTCACTTTCTAATTTACTTTTTAAAGAAAAGGTAGTGGTTGAAACCCCTAATGACACTGAAAACATTTATATTGAAAAGTCTCACCCCCACCCTTATCCATCCAGTGACACCCATGGCCTCCTGCTGGATAATTTTATAAGTTTCTTCTATATCCTTCTACTGTTTCTTTATGACTATAGTAAATCCTTTCTTTCTTGTTTTCAAAAAAGCATTATATGATATAAATGTATTATACATGATATTTACATATGCTTTTTTAAAAAAAAATTATATTCATTTACACACATGCACAGCCAAACACCAGCATATATATTTTCTCATTAATACTATGACCTCAGAGCTTTCCATATCAACACAGAGAACTTCTTCACTCTTATTTACAATAACATAATTTTCCAGCACATAGATGTACTACAACTGTCCCCTGTTCCTCGATATGTGAGTTGTTTCCAATCTAATACTATTATGAAGAATGCTGTAAAAATAACTTTGGGCAACAGTCATTTCATATGTGTGCGAGTTCATCTGTAGAATAATTCTACCAAATGGGGTTTTGATATTAAAGGACAAATGTATTTGTGAGAATGATGATTTGGCCAAATTATTCTCTGTAAACCTTTTTTTTTTTGGTTTGTTTTTAACTTGATACAATGACACTCCCATTTCCCTGTCCCTTGCCCCAGCAAAAATACAAGACCATCACAGTTACCAATTATTATTGACCACAGCCCAATCTCCTTAGGCAAGAGAAATGTCGAAAAATATAACCCATCAGAATGAAGCCCTGAAACTGAGGTTCTGAAGAGAAGATCAGAACAGCTCTGAGATAAGAAGGAATGATGGGTCCAGGATGTATCCACTCTGTATCTAGGCAAAAGAGGGTTCCAACAGAATCCCCCACATTAAATAGGAGTAAGATGGAAAGAACAGTTTGGCAAATATGCAAAAATATTACAGGAAATAAAAAAGAATATAAAGAAGAATCATAGCATACAAAAACTATGTTCTCTGGAATCGGACTGTCTGAATGCAAATCCCAGTTCTGCTATAAAAAAACTGGGAAACTTTGTACAAGTTACCATATATATTTGTACTTTTATTTTATGTGTAAAATGGTAATAATTATAGTGCATACATTTAGGGGTTTCAGTATATAATTATAGTACCTATAAAGGTCAAAAGGACTTAGAACAGTGCCCCCCAAATTTTAGCAGCTATTACTGTGATTAAATACTTAACAAAGAGGCTGAAGAAAAACTGATACAACAAATGCTTAGTTTCTGGGACAGTGCTACTCAAGTGTAGTTCATGGACAAGTTGCCAATCTCTGAACTTTCTGGTGCCGGTCTATGACAAGATAAGGTGATTGTGCCAGAATATTAATCAACTATATCAGTTAAGTATGCTGTTTAGTCCAGCTGACTTTTTTTCACAGTAAGGTACTTTCAATGAAGAAAGCAGCATGGTTTACACTGGGTGTGTGCTTCTTATATTACAGACAAGCACTTTGATTAATACTGCTCTAAGAGACAATAAAGAGAATATGTTATCAATAAAACAAAAATATTAGTCCTGGCCAGTTAGCTCAGTTGGTTAGAGCATTGTCCCCATATGTGCAGGTTGTGGGTTATTTCACTCGTCAGGACACATACAAGAAACCACCAATGAATGCATACATAGGTGGAACAAGGAAACAATGTTTCTCTCTCTCTCTCTTCTACTTCCTCTCACCCTCTCTCTAAAATCAATAAACACATTTAAAAAATATATATTGAAGATGAAACAACACAATTAGATGAAAAGAGAGACTATAGACAAATTAAGGATCAAACACCATGAAATAAATATGAAATCAAAACCATATCAGTTAAATATGGTAGAAAGGCTTGGGGATAAAAAAATCACAGAATATGGGAAGGAAAAAAAGACAAAAATATAGCAATTTGAAAAAAGATATAGCTATAGACATTTCTTTTAAAATACAACCGATAATAATGAAAACCAATGCATCTGACATAGAAAATCCAATAAATATAACAAAAAAATTGAGATATAACAAATTCACCACACTCATCCAAATGATTGCGGTCTTACTGATGACAACCGGACATTATGTGCCTCCTGATGTAATTCGATATGATGCATAGTATTATGTATGACAAGATTTGCTAATGATGTTGAGTGGGCATAGAATATAGAGTTTGGGGTTTGTGAGAGAGGTCCAACAGGGAGATGTGTATTTGACACTTATATGTGCATAAATTATATTTAAAACCTAAAGACTATATGAAATTATTAAGAGTCTAGATAGAAAAAGAAAGTGGATTTCTGACTTGCCAGCCTCCACCATCACATGAGCCAATTCCTTAAGTAAATCTCCCTTCCTCCTTCCATCTCTACCTCTCTCTCTCTCTCTCTCTCTCTCTCTCTAACCTATTAGCCCTATGTCTCTGGAGAACTCTATTTGGCCTTCTTTAAAAGTTTGTTGTCCTAAAATTAAGAGTTGTTTGCATTTTTAAAATATCATGACCACATGGGAAGAGAGGCTCCCAAACAGTAAGTAAAATAATAATCAGTAATAATTTGGTAATAAAATACATGCACTTACACAATTTTTAAATTTGCCCATGTGTTTACCACAGAAAAAGCTTTATGTTTAAATCACTGCCACTGAAATTTAACACATTTAAAATTAAGGCATCCACTACTGCACTTGAATCCTTCAGCCTTTAAGCTCTTTTCTATCTAAACAACACCATCTTGTGGCAAATATGTGTAAAACCAATGGTCTGTCAAATTTTTCTTTTTGTTTCACTTATTCTTTTTATTTTTTGATTATGCTATTAGAGTTGTCCCAATTTTCTCCTTTGCACCCCACCACTCACTAACCCCCTTCCCTCCAGCAATATCCCCCCCGAACCCCCAGTTCATGTCCATGGGTCATGTATGTAAGTTGTTTGGCTTCTCTATTCCTGTACTGTTCTTAACATCCCCCTATTTTGTA